CTTGCAGGATACCAAGGATCCCCAGGCTTGCCAGCCCCCGTTCTGCCCACCATGAGGTGGTGACTGGCGTAGGCAGAGGCCCGGGGCCCGGTCGGGGTCGGGGGGGCAGACTGCCCCTGCGGGCGGGGCCAGCAAGCCTCCCCAGCAGGTGCTGACCACTCCACCCCCGCCAGTGGGAGAAGTCCCAGCTGGACGAGACGTTCATGCGCAGCGTGGAGAACGTGTGCGGCTGCGCCAAGTATGAGTGTGGTGAGCGGGGTCAGCGGCTCAAAGGCCGGCTTGGGGGGCGGGTGGGAGTGGTGGCCGGCCCCTCGGTGACCGTGGCCGCCCTGCACGCATGCCCAGTGAAGGCCCCAGTGTGTCTGAGCCGCGAGCTGGGGGTGATGCAGCCGGGCCAGACCGTGGTAGAGCTCTCGGCAGACGGTGTGTGCCACACCTCCCGCTGCACGGACGCGCTCGACCTTCTCACCGGCTTCTACCAGATCAACACCACCTCCGTGCTGTGTGCCGTCCACTGTGAGGCGGTAGGAGCCCCCCGCCCCCCACCCCCAGAGAAGACTGGGAGTGGGCATCAGGAAACCTCAGAGATCTCAGTAGAAAGTGTTGGAAAAGGAGAGGAGAAGCCCGAGATTTCAGACTGGGAAAGAGAGCTCATGTTTAATAAGCACTAACTGGCCCCTTGGCCCCTCCCTCCCTTTTTGGGTGTGGATTTGTGAGTTGTTACCAGGCGTGGGACAGTGAGCTAGGCCCCCGCTGTGGTCAGGGCGCAATGACTATCAGTTGAGTGGAAGAAAAGGGGTTGGGTTTTCTTCCCACTGGGCAGATGAGAAAGCTGGGACTTCGAGAGGCTCTGTCTCTTACTGAAAGTCTCACAGGAGCTAGGACTCGCTGGACGGCTGCCTGGAAGCAAAGCCAGCCGGCGCCCTGAGTCCCTCAGGGGTGGGAACGCTGGGTGCGCCTGGGACTGACTGCAGCAGCACCAGGGGGGCTGGGGCGGCATGAAGGACATGGTGCCTGCTTGAGATGGAAGGTAGCTGGTACCCTTCCCAGGTGCCTACACGGTACCCCTCTCTGGGTGCTGAGACAAGCAGACAGTGGAAGAGACTGGGGAGTGGAGAGGCAGGTGGGTCCATAGCTGAGCACCATCTCATTGTATCCCCCATCCCCCATCCTGCAGAACCAGGAGTACGAGCACCCACGGGACCTGGCGGCCTGCTGTGGCTCCTGCAGGAATGTGTCCTGCCTCTTCACCTTCCCCAATGGCACTACCTCCCTGTTCTTGGTAAGCACCCTCCTCGCTGCCCACCTGGGAAAGTGTCCCAGGAGGGAAATGGAGGCTTCACGGGGCAAGACACATCTAGAACTAGAACTGGGAACAGATGGGCTCCGGACAGTGCCAGGCCCTGGACTACACCTGGCCTCGGAGCTGTGCCCTCCTGGTTCACTCAGGTCAGCCATGGGGATTCTCACCGACCTCTGCTCTCCAGCCTGGCGCGTCCTGGATTGCCGACTGTGCCCGCCACCACTGCAGTAACACTCCCTTGGGTGCCGTGCTCGTCCGTTCGCCCATCAGCTGCCCACCGCTCAACGAGACCGAGTGTGCCAAGGTCAGCACCTTCTGCCTGGAGGAGGGGTGCAGAGGGGGTTCCCTAGAGCACTTGCCCCACTGCCACCCGCAGCCCCAACCCGCACAGCTATTATTTTTGCACTGACCACATCACCCCAGTCCTCACACGTCACCTGGTCACACATACAAGCTCATGCCGACGCTGCCTGGTGTCTACGCATGCTCAGATGTCTATGGGCACACTCGCTGACCGCACTCAGTGTGCCGGCACATACACGCGCTCCACACAGGCACACCGTGCACACGCAGAGGTCACAGCCTGGTGTATGACAGGCCTGCAGGGGCCTAGCACTGGAGCTTGAGCTGCCCAAGTGGCCACACCTCAGGGAAGAAGTTCTCCTGGAGGGCTTGGCCTCAGCGTTGACTTCTTCTTCCAAAGTTCCTGAGCTTCAGATTGGGCATTGGCCGGTTTCTGACTCTGACCCAGAGAACAAACACACACAGACACACACACACACACACACACACACACACACACAC